CAAAACTTTGTAATCCTCTAAAGACTCCCTTCCTAGCTTTTCTCTGAATTTCACAGAGTAATATGTTCTTTTTCAGTGGTTACATTGATGATATGGATCTTTTACACTGCTCCTTTAGACGTGTTTTGAAGTTTATCCTAGCCTTTGTAACCTCAGCTTTTGGCTTTTGTGGTTGTTTTGGCCGAGAAGTTAAGGCGATGGACTAGAAATCCATTGGGGTCTCCCTGTGTAGGTTCGAGTCCTACCAGCAACGCTAGCTCCCTTCTCTAATGGCTGTGTTTTTTTACACATGTACTCCCGCAGTCATTGAAAGCTGCTTGTGACATTCAGGAGAAAGAAAGCATGTAAACACTCAAGCTGTTATGGTGATGTTAACCCATTGTGTGGGTAGAAAACATTTCTGTGATCAGTTCCAGTATTCATATTGGGCCCAATATCCTTGCTTCACTTTTTGAAAACTGTTGTTCAAATAAGAACTGAAGTTGCCGTCAACCAACAGACTGAGACAATAGAGCATTATATTTGATGATGGTTGTGAAAAGGTACCTGATTTCCACATTCTTTACTGTTAAGTATCGTTCACCTGGCTTTAAGTCTAAGACATTGTGTCTAAGACCTTTCAAACAACTGCTTGAGTGGCATAAAAATGACGGTGGAAACTCTGAATGTTTCCTTACTTCATGGCTAACACTGAAATGATGTGTACTGTTGAAGTATAACGACAAAGGCGATGGGACAGCCTTTAGACTTGTCTTTTGGCTTAACTTGGCATGCCATCAAATCCTACACAACTCCTAATGATATTTGAGAGGAATACTGATGTCAAAAAGATCTGCAAATACTTCCTATCATACTGGCTTACACAAACATTTACTGTACTACAGAAATGAATTGACAAAACTTTGTAATCCTCTAAAGACTTCCTTCCTAGCTTTTCTCGGAATTTCACAGAGTAATATGTTCTTTTTCAGTGGTTACATTGATCATATGGATCTTTTACACTGCTCCTTTAGATGTGTTTTGAAGTGTATCGAGCGCTATGTGACCTCAAGTTTTGGGGTTGTTGTGGCCGAGAGGTCAAGGCAATGGACTTGAAATCCATTGGCGTCTCCCCGTGTAGGTTTGAATCCTACCAGCAATGCTAGTTCCTTTCTCTATTGGCAGTGTTTGTTGACTCACTGACAACAGCAGTCAATGCAAGCTGCTCATCACTTTTAGGAGA